CAAGGTTAGGCACCCAAGGAGGTCGACCACCCCTCCTCAAAGAGTACGTTAAGCTTTTGGTGGTCTGCCTGAAGATGACATCAGTTCTCCCAAAAATCTTACAGGCGAAAATGACGGGCATGTCCCTAACGTAAGCCTGCCAAGCATAGGCAAGGCTAAGCCTGTGCTGAACCGTCACACCAGGTCAGTTTTTTGTGTTTCAGATAGTGTATTTGCTCTAAAGGAGATCAATTTGGTTTAGTACAATTTTTGGAGAGATCAACTAGCTAATCTCCCCTCCACAGGGTTGCCAAGACGGTCCCAGGGTTACTAGTTTTTTACCTTAGACTATATTGTTTGGGTCTAAGGAGTTTTGTATTGCTGTTTGTTGATGTTTTTGGTTGTTTGAAGTACTGTGGGTGCTAGTTGGTTTGCTCAGAAGTCATATTGTGATCCTGGGATGGCTCTGGAGGCATTGGTGACACCCAAAGTGCTTGAATAATCACTACTGTGACATTAGATGGTACAAATTATGTAGAATGGTCCTAATCTGCTCGTATGACTGTTGGTGCACATGGGAAGTTGGGATACATTACTGGGGATACTAAGAAAATTATATGGTGATGACTTGGCTATGTAACTCTATGTACCATATATTAGTAAAAGTTTTTTTATGGGCAAATACTGGTAAGGAGATTTGGGATGGAGCTAGAGAAACATATTCACAGAATCAAAATGTGGCCCATGCATAGGAATCAAGTGATTGGTACAAAGCAAGGAGACAAACCTCTGGCTATATATTTTTCTACACCAAAGTCACTGTGGCAGGAGATAGATCACTTAGAGACAGTTGAGTGGGAGAGCACAAAAGATGCAGTGACTTATCAGAAGTTGGTTGAAAATAATAGAGTTTTTGACCTGGCCTCAATCCAGATTATGATATTTTTTTAATAAATCAATCCAAAGTATGATATTGCTAGATAGCATATACTATCTTGTGACAATGTTACTATCTCTCAAGCGTATGCCCTTGTGTCTACAGAGGAGACCAGGAGGATTGTGATGATTAAACAGCCTTCTGTTGAGAATTCAGCCATGGTTAATGTTACTAAGCCAAAATCTGCTAAGAGTGGTGAGAATAAAAAGGAGGACAAGAAGAACCTGTTTTGTGACCACTGCAAGAGGCCTAAGCATACCCAAAGTAGAAAAGTTTGGACAACCTGTTTTGATATAAAAACTGTAGAAGAAAGAAGAAAAGAAAGAGAAGAAAAGGTTTCAGCTGAGAAAGAGAGAGAAGAGAGATAGAAGAGAACGGGAGAAGCTCAGAATTAGGTCTGGCCACCCCTTTCATTAGATTCTATACTCATAAATAAAAGAGAGTACAAAGACAAGTATGCCCTTAGTAAGTCAGCTACTTGTGAGAACTTAAAAACACTATTAACTTAAAACATAAATTAATGGGCCTAAGGCCCAATAACTCCCTAACTATGCTATGTAAATAAAAAACATGTTATATAAGCCCAAAACTCAATACCCAGGATACTTGTTCAAAGCTTTATCCTCATCTTATTCCAACCCAACTTGAGAACAAGAAGGGGAATGCAAATGTGGCAGTGAAAGATGAATCCTTAGGACCTTTTTCTATGGTTTCTTTGGAGTCTATTGTGGCAGCTACAGTTAGAACTGAACTAGAGAAATATGCAAACTTAGTCAAAGGGATACAGCCAATACTAGTAGTCCATCAAGAGGCCAGTAGGGTGGTGGAACTTCTAGAGAAGGACACTCTACTTCTCTTGCACATATAGGTTGTTCATATGCCACTACTAATCATGTTTCCACTTCAAGGGGAAACCTCCCGAAATTATAGACTTGGGAGTTTCTGAACACATGACTAGTGATTCCACCTATTTCTCTTCTTACCATTTGTGCTCTAGTAAAGATAAACTTACTATTGTTGATGGCTCTCATACACCCATAACAGGAAAAGGCACTGTGAAGGTGTCTCATACCATTACATTACCATCTGTCATTCTGTCTTATAAAGTTGCATACTAATATTTTATATATTAGTAGCTTGACTAAGTCCTTAAATTGATCAGCAACTTTTTTCTTGATCGTTGTATTTTTCAAGATCTAGGATCACAGAGGATGATTGGGAGTGGTCATGAGGCAAACGAAATCTACCTTCTGGATGCGCCTCCTAGCCATCAGAGTCATCATGCAAGCAGTAGTAATGTTGAGTCAGAGTGTTTGGGTCAAATTTTATTATGGTATAATCAGTTATTAGACATGTGCCTTTTGGTTCTTTGTGTTCTTTTGTTTCTAAAATTGTTTAAGCCTGTGAAGCTGTCTAGTCTAGAGTGTGAAATTGTCAGCTTGCAAAACATTGTAGACATTCTTTTTCTCTAAGTAATAAATGAAGTTGTTCACATTTTGCTATTGTTCATACTGATGTGTGGGGACCCTACTCTATTCCTTCCATGGGCGGTTATCATTATTTTCTTTTGTTTATGGATGATTATTCTCGTTATTCCTGGATTTATTTGATGCATTCTCGTGATGAGGTACCTTCCATGGTTCGGCATTTTCTTCAAATGGTACTCAAACAGTTTGAAGTGAAACTTAAAGTTTTCATATCATATAATGCTAGGGAATATTTTGAAAAGGACCTAGCATCCTATTTGCTGGAGTATGTGGTGATTCATTTTTTTTATCAATAACCAAAAACTTTCATTAATTAAAGAAGAAGATACAAGTGAACACTTCTCCAAGATGACAAAAAACTTACAACAATTACAGAACTGTCCAGAAAGAGTTAATCCCTTCCCACCCCTTGCTTTGCCAAAACATCGGCAAAGGCATTGGCACTCCTTTTAACCCACTACAACTTGATCTCTATATCTTGAGTTAAAAACTTAAACTTCCTCCTTTCATTGACAAATTTCCACCAACTAGTCTCATCTTTTAACAGCCAGCTAACTACCAGCTTTGAATCCCCTTCTATGATCAATTTTGTTATATTCAGCTCCTTACCTTTTTGGATCCCTTCCATCACAGCCAAGATTTCTGCCCTCAAGGAGTCTC